ATGCCCACACACCCACGTGAACTCCCCTGACCCTCATGTGTGCCCCGCCCCGCCCCAGCCACCGGTCTGTGTCGTCACTGTCTCTCTCGACTTCACTGCCCCGCTGAGAAACTCCACCCCCTCCACACACACACACTCACACACATGAACAGAGACACGAGTGGTCGGCACTAGAGGCTCCACGCTTCACGTGCAGCCTCTGATGCCGACAAACCCGCCACACACAACAGTCCTTCATGCAACCACACGCGACACAAACTGCCCAGATGTCATGCCACATAGTATCAGAAACTGCCTGCCCTCCTCCTGCTTTCCCCTTCTGTCTCACCCTCCCGTCAACACCCACACGCACACACTTGACAGCCTCTGTCCTCACATGCGCTTGTGCCTCATCAGTGCCAGTGCCAGTGCCGCGCCGCCTGGTGGTGAACTCAGGCCATGTCGTGCGCCGGCTGCGGTGATGACGATCGGCAGAGGAGAACGTTGCGCCGGGTGTATCGGGATGACGGGGCGTTGGGCGACAGGGACCTACTGAAAGGAGAGACACAAGACATCCATGAGTGCGTGAATGCCGCCGGTCGATATGAAGGCGTTGGCACACACCGGCAACTGAGGTCCGACGTTCAGGTTGCTGTTGTTGAGGAGGGCGAGGTAAGCCCCCTTGATCTTGGTGAGGTGTGCCTGTGCTTCGCCGTTGAGCTTGGTGCAGGCCGTCTCCTGGATGTTGACATGGTTGTTTTCATGGCGGTGGCCCCTGATCAAGCCGAGGGTCTCTCTCTGGTGCCACGTCACCGTCGTGGTCTTGACCACACGCTTGGTGATACCGTACGAGATGATGATGGCGTCGATGCGCGCCCCCTGACACGGCCGTCGACGCTCTCACTGCGACCGTCTGCAATCAGCAGCTGACCTGCAGCATCCACACGCAGAGCTCATATATATGTGGATCTGTGCGCCCTCCCTCCCGCTTACGTACCGTTGCCTTCGTTGAAGCACTCGACTTTGTCGAACGTCTTCCCCTTCTTCGCTGCCAGGTGCATGTTGAGGGCCATCCCCGAGAAGAATTTGTCGCTGAGGACGGCCGGCAGGCCCGCCCTAGCAGCCCCCTGACGGAGCTCCCTCTCGACCCCCTTTGCCGTCTGGAGCACCGGCGCGTCCGCCGGCTCGTCGAAGAGCAGCGTCTTGTTGCCGCCGTGGTCGTTGTAGTTTTCGAAGTCATTTCCCGCTGACAGCACCACAGGCGCAAGAGTGTACGCACCGTCAGGCATCGTGAGAGGCAAACAGACGAGCAAGCAATCAACGGGGCTGAGTTTACAAAAATTCTGAGTAAATTCGGTAGCTCGGCTGGCCCTTCCGTCCGCCGATGTCTGATTCCCTTTCGAATGCTGCGCAGAATGCCGTCCTCGATGGCATCAAGTCCTTCTGGCAGAACGGCCAGCCCATCGCCTCGCGCCACCAGCGGACGGAGGCCGGCTCCCTGGTGGTTCCACCCCTCTTTTCGTTCAACACCCTCAGCCTGCGAAACTTCAGCAATCAAGTCGAGGGGCTGTCTGGTGCCTGTGTGCCGACTTGGTGCGCCAAGCAGGCCAAGGCGCTCCGCAAGGAGATCCCGCCTCAGCAGTTGGCGAGATTCGACAGTGCAGTAGACGCACTCAAAGACATGCTCAACGAGGACATCCGCCTCATCGGTCGCCGCGGAACGAAAATCATGAACGCATCGTTTGCGTATGCGACGCCCAATGGTGAGTAGACGCCACAAGAGAGGGAGAAACAAGTGTACAGTACATCGCGGTGGGGTGTTTGTGTCGTTGTCTGCAGGCTCTGCGTCGGGCTACATGCTGCGCATCGTGCGTCAAGCTGACGACGACTACGATGTCACCGTCCAGGCCATCAGCTTCTCCTGCGAGAAGCCTCCCACATATCGCTTCTGGACGACCACCACGCACGAGAAGAACCTCTTCTTCGAATCGTCGGAGTCGCAGGTGCACAAGGAGATGCTCAACACGCCCATCACCCTCCAGGAAGTCGGCGCCCTCTTCGCCACCGTCGTCGGTATGGGCAGCGGCGCCGGACAGCAGGGGCTGACGGCTGAAGAGTGGGCAGTCACGGCACTGCAGAATGGCCAGCAATGATGTGATGCCTGACTGTCTTGTGGCCAGGGTGCGTGCGTGCGTGTCAGGGGAGTTTGCATGAGTGCGCGCAGTGAGTGCTGCAGTGCTGCGGTCGTTGGTCTGTACGTGTCTGTGTCACAGGCAGTATGCATGTATGGCTGCGATGGAGCTGTGCGTGGGGGCTGGGTGAAAGTCGACTGAGTTTTTCGCGCACGACAACGTCGGATGCGTGAGTGAGTGTGGCTGGTGGCAGTAGACTTGTTGGTTGCGATGCGTGGAAGACATGATTGGGTCAATGACTCTTTCACGACGCACACATGTATCTATCATTTCGTCTGATTCATAAGCAAGCACTCCACACACATACGCAGTCACAGTCCGGCATACACAAAGCAGCAGTCAACGGTGGAGCACTGTCCAACAAAGAATGCCACATCTAGCGAGCAACACTCGCTAACACATACATCAAACCGTGCTTTAGTGGCAGCTGCGGCGTAGCAACACAGCATTCAACTTCAATCAATGGCTCTCGGAATGAAACCAAGATGCTCGCGGACGCCCGTCAGATGAATGAATGGTGCTGTTGAAGTCAATAGGGGGGATGGGAGGAATTGGCGCCTATTGCAACCAAACACAGAAGACACCCGTGCGATTTTTCTCTCCTTGAATGTGTGTGGGCCTGTCTTCCTATGCGCACCGGGAGGGCGGGGCCGTTGGTTAAGTTGCGGTCATCCTTTAGACGTGCGTATGCGCCTCGGATGGCTGTCAGATAGGCTCGGGTGGAATCCGAGGGCATACTACAAGGCTGCTCGAAGAAGGTTTCCTCTCTCTCCTCTTCGCAGGAGACCTAATGAATGCACGCACGGGAAGATGTGCAAACACTCATGTCACTGCACACAATAGCTGACCTTGCCAAAAGCATGCCTTCGACGGATCAAGAACACGGTGGTTCTTTTTTTCATCATGTTGGTGAGGGCATATCTGAACCGGATGACATCACACCGTACGACAATTGTGTCCTCCCTGGTGAGCTGGCTGCGGCCGACTAAACAACACCCTGTACCTGAATGTACCACAACACGCGACACAAGCAAGTATGCACATAATGTGAGCATGCCACAACAAGCGGGAAGTGTGTGTGACTGTGAGCGTATGGATATTGTCGTCGTTGAGATCTTCGTGGTAACCGAATGCATCGCTCAAACGGGCAGGCTGCGCACCGCCTGCATGGCCGACTTGAAGCAACACGGGATACCTGCTGTTGAGCAGCTCAGCCACGAGATAGCTGCTCTTGAGCAGCTCAGACACGACCGACTGTGTCGTACCTGACCAGGCATGTGTGATGTGCAGATGCAGTAAATGGGCTGCGTCTGTGTGTGTGTTTTAGCTGACCTTTCATCTCAATGCAGACGCAGTAGTCCATTGGTGGGGTTTCTCCGGCTTCGTCCAGAGGAATGCGACGAGCGTTGATATTCTTCTCTTCAGCCTTGGACAAGACGTCAGCCTCGTTCGCACTCGGCACCCACACTCTCACATCTGACACACAGCAACACACAAAACAGATGGGCCAATCGATAGAAAGCGCGCCATGCGAGTGCGTGCACTCGCGCATGGCCTTCTCTCAGCCGCTCACCCGTCTGTGCGTCGGCTGCCGGCTGCAGATGGTAGCCCTGAGAGCGAGACAGCGCAGAGGTGTCTTGATGATGCGTTGCAGCGGCTTCCACATCACTCACATGTACCTGCCCACTGCCACTCATCTGCGGGTGAGGCTTCCATTGAGATAGCAGGACGGATGCCTAGACCACCACACAGCAGAACCGAGGCACATTCACACACTTGTTCGCCCGTCATTTGCTGTGCTCGTGCGCCTCACGATGTCGCGCCGAAGCTGGGAACAGTCCTGACAGTTTCTAGCAAGACATTCGACGTCGGCCGCCACACGTTCGATGAACGTGTCCGTCTGCAGATCGCTAGGAAGGCGTCCAAAGGTGAACTCGCAAAGGAGGAGGTCTCGAACGCCGCTGCTGGAAAGATTGCAGACCTCGGTAGTGGTGAGGGAGAACATGGCACCCGCAGTCAAGACATTGAAGCTGCCCGGCACCAGATCACCGCCAGGCGAGCAAATCACCTCGTAGCATGGTCCCACGAAACGGGGCATTGGCAATGGATGACCTGCATAACGACACACATAACACATGCTCATACTGATCTGTTGCTGCGTATCTGATGTGACGCGCTCACGTTTGTGATCGTGTGCTTCACCCTTCAGCTTCTTTCGGCCAACGTGGACTTGTAAACAACTTGACTCCTGCCAGGCGACGATTGTGTCTTTTGGGAGTGCGAGATTAGGTAGCGATCATCATGACGCCTCGCGAAGGAATGGCCTAAGGCGATTCCGAGACCTTGCCAGCGCCCTGAACTGAACCCGCAAACCGAGCTGATGAATGGAGATCATCACGCGGACACCGAGAGAGATGCTGTCGAGGACCCGCTCGTGGACTATGAGGCGCTCCGCCGCTTCGCTGCCCCGCCAGATGGCACATCCCACTCCTCTCGACGTGAGGGCAGCAGCAGGGATGAGCTGCTGCGTGTGGATGGTGAGGATGTGGCTGACGAGGATGTGTTGAGTGCGCTTGGCGAGCTGTGAAGGGGAAGGCTGAGAGTCTGCGGAAGAAGCTTGAGTCGCTCAACGAGACGATTGATGGGACCAGCATTCATGTGGACAAGGTGGGCGAGCGAGGAGAGGGATGGCGAGGCAGGGGCAGAGGCAGATAGATATCACCTCCTGTGTCTGTGCATGTGTGTGTGTCAGGGCATCTCGTATCTCGACGTCAAGGCGCAGCTGTTGCTGACCTACACCATCTACCTCACGTACTACACGCTGCTCAAGGTCAGCCATCCATCCATATCACGCACACACACACAGACGTGTGTTCTGATTGATGTGGTTCAGGTGAAGGGTGCGTCGGTCAGCCCCCACCCCGTGGTCGACGAGCTGGTGCTGCTGCGCACTCTGATGGAGAAGATGCGCCCCATCGACCAGCGCCTGGCCTACCAGGTCAACAGACTGCTCGACATGGCCGCTAAACCAATCCAAGGTGACTCGACTCACCCACACACAATGCACCCACCCCACATGCAACAACGAAATCGGTCCACTCACACGTGTGTGTGTGTATGTCAGAGGCGGCCAGTGAGGCTGCGCAGCCGCTGAGGCCCCGGCTGGACCAGCTGATGAACCCAAATGAAGCCGACGAAGAGCAAATGGAGCAGAGCGATGAGCAGGAGGGCGAAGGGGAAGTCCCTGAGGAAAAGGGAGAGGGAGAGGGAGAGGTGGCTGCCAAGGGCGTCTACAAGCCGCCGAAGCTACTGGCTGTCGAGTACACGGGCGACCACGTACGTGCAGTGCGCACACACAGCAAAAGCACGGCATGCAGCGGTTGGCTATTGTCGACCTCCCATGTGCCATGGCTGTCTTGTCTCAGTTGTCGGCAGCTGCCAAGGCGCATCGCGAGGCGGACAGGCAGAGGGAGAGGCTCAAAAAGACCGAATACGTCCGCTCACTCAGACAAGAAATCTCCGACGTAAACACACACACACACACACACACGTGCTCCTATTCATGTGTGTGTCTGTGTGTCTGTGTCTGGCTGCAGGTGCCTGAGGAGGTCGGCGGGTCCGATTTGCGTCGTGACGCCAAGGCGGCCGCGCTGATGAGGCGGCAGGTGGAAAGGCAGCAGATAGAGGAGGAGAGCTTCAGACGCATACAAATCAACAAAAAGGAAAAAAGAGGTACGCACATGCCGCCAGTCCACCACACAACACCCGAGTTTGACGAGTATTCTATCTGCTGTACCGGTACGGGACAGCGGGACGTTTGTGCGGTGTGATGTCATCATGTGTGGTGTGTTTGTGTGTGGCCAGCTGGGATGACAACCGCTACGTGCACGTGTGTGATCAGGCTCGTCCTTCCAGCGGGAAGGTCGCGGGAAAGTTCTTGGTGGCAGCCTATGCGTGCATCGCTGGACGGACGATTGTAGTCGGCGAGTGTGTGTTGCGGTGGGGGGAGGGAAAGCGAGAGGGCTGAGTGGTATGCTTTGTTGCTGATGATGTGATTTGCACAGAAATGCATATCTGAGTGTCTGTCTACTTGAGGCCATCATTTAGTACGTAACTCACTTGTTGACAAAGGAGAGTCTCGCACACACGCAACACATACACGTCCATCATACACACTCATTCTCCGCATCGTCCTTCACTTGCTCCCCGTCGCATGCTCCATGATCCGTCCTGCTGCATCTTGGCAGTTGTTGCTGAACAAGCGGTACTCGGTGCCTCCCTGGTGCACCAGCTGCCCCACCGTCACTCCAGCCGCGATGTCGGTCCTCACCTCGCCAAATGTCCACTGCGCCTTGTTCATATGCTGGACCTTCTTGACAATGGTGTTGCCCCCTCCTGATCCGTAGCCGCTGCCCTTCTCAATCAGGAACTCTCCCATTGGTGTTGTGACGATCACCGCCTCGTGGGCGTTGATGATGACGGGCTCAGAAGACGTGCTGGGCGGCGGCATGACCTCCTTGGGAAGTCGGATGTTGCCGATGCCGTGCTTGGGGCGAGAGACCAGCTGGACGGAGAGCACCGGGGAGTTGTACAGGCGAACAAGTTCATCGCCGCTGAGATCGGGAGCGTGCATGACTCAAACAGGTCGCGGTTGGTTGCAAGTCAAGGCTGCCGTGTTTACAGCCATGTGACCAGTAAATTCTTTCGCGTGGATACCAGTTGCGCGCAGACCAACCAGCACACCACCATGCCGTCGGGTTCGCGCCAGTTGCATTGGGATGTAATTCAGGAAGACGGCCCGAAGGCCATCGACTGCACCTTCTGGTACCGCCAGCCTGCATGGCTGGTGAACGCCTCCACATTCGAGGCTGTCAAGCTCAACGTGCAGCAGCTGGGCGACACGGCTGGTGCCCCACAGCTGCCTGGCGCATGGCTGAACGACATCACCGCCCATATCGTCACCCAGGGGCTCAAGGCGCAGGAGCTCGTTGCCGTCTTCGGTGCCGACGTCCTCACCCAGATCGTCCCATACACCCTGGTCGAGGGCACCAGCTACACATGGGACGTCGTCGAGCCTGCAGAAGGTCAGCGCACACACACACACACCTTTTGGGTCATCTGGCTTGGATGCGTATTTCCCGTGGCTGTGTGTGTACACACTTCAGTCGGCTTGGATGAGCGGCGCTCAGCCCGTGTGTGCCGCCGCCCGCTACAAGCTCTGCGTGACGGCCAATGGGCAGTGCGACGTGGTGGTGCGCATCGACGTCCTCAAGCCATCCATGCTGCCCCGAATCATTAGACGGACCATCCTCTTCTGGCGCCAGCGATGGGGCCACCGCCACGAAGACGTGCACCATGTCGACGAGGTGCACCCCGCGAGTCCCGTGCCGCCCGCCCATCTGGCCCTCATCACGGCCCGACACCAGCAGGAGTACTTGAGGGTCTCGGGCCTCGACAACCTGACGGAGAATCCTCTGCCTGTGTGACAATGCAGTCCTGTGGTCATCGCCTCCCGGCAGAAGGCATGACATCTGGGCAGTTTGTGTCGCGTGTGGTTGCATGAAGGACTGTTGTGTGTGGCGGGTTTGTCGGCATCAGAGGCTGCACGTGAAGCGTGGAGCCTCTAGTGCCGACCACTCGTGTCTCTGTTCGTGTGTGAGTGTGTGTGTGTGGAGGGGGTGGAGTTTCTCAGCGGGGCAGTGAAGTCGAGAGAGACAGTGACGACACAGACCGGTGGCTGGGGCGGGGCGGGGCACACATGAGGGTCAGGGGAGTTCACGTGGGTGTGTGGGCATTTCATGTCAGTGTGTGTCCCTCATGAGTGTCGCATCAGTGGACGGACGGACGGATGCCTGCCTGACGATTTGAATGTGTGGTGCGTGTGGAGTGTGGACCGCTGATCGACTTGCGCCATAGGTGCTGCGATTCATCAATGCCATGGACAGCCATATGCAGTCAGCCAATATCCCAATCAATGTACACAGACGCACTCCTGCCACGCCAGCGGTCGTTGGTTAAACACACCAGAAGTCCTCTAAGCCTGTCTGTCTGGCGGGCTACTAAGCCCGCTACTCGAGTTGTCCGTGTCGCCGGCCGCTTCGACGTTCCAAGTCCATCCTCAAATCGCCACACACGTGTGCATGAGGAGGCACGCGGCGATGCTCGCCGTTCCCGGAATGCAGCAGCAGCCACCAACACACCAACCCCCCACACAACAGACGCCGCAACCAATCAATTGAAACG